TTCTAGTATAACATTACGTTGTGCCATCTTCCATTTTACATTAGGGAGATTAAAATTTCCAAGGAGTAAAATATTTTGTGTAGGATTTTCTAGCCTATCCAGATAGCTATCTATCTTACTTAACTGATCTGTGAATTCCTCAGCAGTTGCTGATGGTGGTTTATATACTAGGATAATTACCAAATTCCTGTTTTCAACTTTAATGCCTAGAATTTCTACTATATCATTCGTAGAGTTCAGCACTTCTGTGCAACAGAAAGTACCCTTTACATAGATTCCTACTCCTTCCTGTGATCTATTGATTCTATCACATCTATACGTGTTGTAGTTTTCTATCTTTATCTCTCCGTCCAAAACATCCCTTGTATGTGTTTCTGTAAATGCTCCAAACATGGCATTCGCTTCTGTTAGGAGCCCACTAACATAACTAACTTTGTTATTTTTATTTGATTTCAAACCCTGAATATTTGCAAATATGAAGCAGGAATTACCATGTGTGATGTTTTGTCTCGCTTTGCATTTCATTAGTACCACTGGTGGTGTACTACCTGGTATCTCCCCTGGTGTACACGCCCCTGGTTTCTCCAGTACTGGCTTCGCGTTTGGTTGCTTATTCGGCCTTGATGGGCTGATACCTGGTTTGGTATGCACCATTTTACTGCCCACCTGTCCTCTCTGTACCATTTTCCCTGTTTGTCTTTTCCTTAGTTTTGATCTTTTGTCTTTTTGTCTAAAAAAGAATGCTGTTCAATTTCCCTTTCTCTGCTAACTCTGTAGTGCCGCATTCCTTTTATATGGTGGTCTGGGCAGCTCAGATCATAACATTCTCTGGATTGCGTTGAAGCTTTACACGTTACTGGATGGAAGTACCTGCACCCTTTGTTGAAACAACACTTCCCTTCCTCAACATGTTGGCACATTTTCTGGTGTATTTATTCCAGCAGTCTCTGCCATATAGGCACATATCTTTAGCATAGTATCTGCAAATGTCCTGACTACTTATATACTATATTGATTTTGTGTTGTTCCCAAGTTCTGCAGTTCTGCCACCTGATACGAGTTCTCTTGTTCCCTTTCCCTTTCCACCATGTTATGTATCTCTGTTTCATTCTTTTCCAACTTGCTCTGTATGACATTTTCCACTCTTCCACTCCTTGGTTTTCACCTCTGTTTGCATTTTCCTCCTTGTTCCTTTTCCAATGTTTTCCACTCTTTGTATAACTCTGGCAAGCTCCTTAGAAACTTCCTTACGCTTTTTAGGTTTTCACTTTTCAGTACCTCTTATGCTTAACCAGCTGTCCCTTTCACTGGGGCAAATCCAGAAACGACTTTGTTGTTTTTGGTCATTTGTCATGGTTGCATAAAGTTTTGTACATGATATATGTGATGTTTTGCCACATACTTCACAATCAGTTCCCCTCATGTTTCTCCCAAAAATTTGTTCACATATACAACAGCCTTTATTCCTGGCCATGATTACTTTTAAGCAGGTGTATGTGGTGGATGGTGTATTTATTGTGTGGCTGGGTGGTGGGGTGGCTGGTAGGTCGGGGGGGCTGGACGGTGGGTATCCTTGGGTAGAGGGTAGGGGCGATAGGAGGAGGGGGCTGTGCAGTGAGGTGGTAAGCTGGGAGATAGGGGTCTGTGGAAAGAAGGTGAGGGTGCGAAGTGGGGGGCTGGGGGGTGGGATTGTTGGATGGGTGGTGTAGGATCCGGGGAATGGGGTAGGGGCATGAGGCGGGGGCTGGGAGGTGGGGTGCAGGTGGCACTTGCGCACTTGTTCCCATATAATTACACAATAGTTTTACACTACACTCGGGATTAAAAGGATTAACTCTTATCCACAAGTTCAGTTTACTATATCACTGCCTATTTATATTCTTTTTTCCTCGTTATAGCACTTGTACGATAGTTTGCACTTCACTCTCACCTCTGACAATAATTTTTTCACTGGTGATGGTCGACTCATGAATATATTCCACACATAATGCACTATATTCACTATATTCCTTATGAAATGAGAAACAGTCCTTCAGTACAAAACACGACCCACTGTGTGGTAACACCTATAGGCCTAGTTCACTGTATAACTTTCCAGATTCATTCCTCTCTGATCACTCGTATATATTTTAGTTTACTGATCTTACTGTGTTCCTCACACTAGTCTAGACTGGATATTGTGGTATGGGGTATATGGTGTTTTTATGATTGAATATGGTAGGCCTGAGTGGCTGCCTGGCAGTACTGCCAGACGTACGGCTACATACACCACTGCAGGGTACGTGGCACTTCTCTCATGCCACCACATGTTAGTTTAAACCACTTTCATTATGTTAATCACTATCCTTGTGTTGTTCCACTGACAATTTAGATTCACTAGGTCTTTGTATTATGTCTCGGTATCCTAGTCTATTTGTTATATGTGGTAACTCAGACCTTTGTGTATCACTTGTCACATGTCAACACCAGGGCAAGTAGATTGACCCACCACTGCCACACTTCACTATTGTTTTTTATTTTATTTCCTTTTATTTTATCACTGGTATTTTATCACTGTGCTGTACACTAGTTATCTCAAGGACATACACTATATTCATTCAAGATACTTTTCTTTTCACTGCACTATACTGGGATCGTTGTTTTATTTTTCACACGGCAGCTAGGACTATGGTAACTTTCCCCTGCACTTCCATGAAAAATTTATTTCATGCTTAGTAGAGGTAACGGGTAAACATTTCACATGGTAGGCTTATGCCTTTACATCGATTGTATACTCAATTTATGTATATTGTGATTCCCTGCACATCAATGCTACCATCATTCGTTTTGTTACTTGTGACTATAGTAAATACTCATCCGTTATTTCCACTTCTCTGGATATCACATTGGTGGGAGGGAGTATGGAAGAAGTGAATTATTATTATTATTTTTTTATTATCACACCGGCCGATTCCCACCAAGGCAGGGTGGCCCGAAAAAGAAAAACTTTCACCATCATTCACTCCATCACTGTCTTGCCAGAAGGGTGCTTTACACTACAGTTTTTAAACTGCAACATTAACACCCCTCCTTCAGAGTGCAGGCACTGTACTTCCCATCTCCAGGACTCAAGTCCGGCCTGCCGGTTTCCCTGAATCCCTTCATAAATGTTACTTTGCTCACACTCCAACAGCACGTCAAGTATTAAAAACCATTTGTCTCCATTCACTCCTATCAAACACGCTCACTCATGCCTGCTGGAAGTCCAAGCCCCTCGCACACAAAACCTCCTTTAACCCCTCCCTCCAACCCTTCCTAGGCCGACCCCTACCCCGCCTTCCTTCCACTACAGACTGATACACTCTTGAAGTCATTCTGTTTCGCTCCATTCTCTCTACATGTCCGAACCACCTCAACAACCCTTCCTCAGCCCTCTGGACAACAGTTTTGGTAATCCCGCACCTCCTCCTAACTTCCAAACTACGAATTCTCTGCATTATATTCACACCACACATTGCCCTCAGACATGACATCTCCACTGCCTCCAGCCTTCTCCTCGCTGCAACATTCATCACCCACGCTTCACACCCATATAAGAGCGTTGGTAAAACTATACTCTCATACATTCCCCTCTTTGCCTCCAAGGACAAAGTTCTTTGTCTCCACAGACTCCTAAGTGCACCACTCACTCTTTTTCCCTCATCAATTCTATGATTCACCTCATCTTTCATAGACCCATCCGCTGACACGTCCACTCCCAAATATCTGAATACGTTCACCTCCTCCATACTCTCTCCCTCCAATCTGATATTCAATCTTTCATCACCTAATCTTTTTGTTATCCTCATAACCTTACTCTTTCCTGTATTCACCTTTAATTTTCTTCTTTTGCACACCCTACCAAATTCATCCACCAATCTCTGCAACTTCTCTTCAGAATCTCCCAAGAGCACAGTGTCATCAGCAAAGAGCAGCTGTGACAACTCCCACTTTGTGTGTGTTTTCATATATTTGGAAGTGGACTTGTCAGCACATAGGTTTATGAAGGATGAAGTAAACCATAGAATTAGTGCAGGAAAAAAGGTGAGCAGTGCATTGAGAGACAAAGAATGCTTTCCATGGAGGCAAAGAAGGGAATGTATGAGAGTATAGTGGTACCAACACACTTATATGGGTGTGAAGCATGGGTTGTAAGTGCTGCAGCGAAGAGGCGGCTGGAGGCAGTGGAGATGTCCTGTCTAAGGGCAATGTGTGGTGTAAATATTATGCAGAGAATTCGTAGTGTACAAATTAGGAGGAGGTGTGGAGTTACTAAAAGTATTAGAGAGCTGAAGAGGAGCTGTTGAGGCGGTTTGGTCATTTAGAGAGAATGGAACAAAGTAGAATGACTTGGAGAGCATATGAATCTATTGGGGAAGGAAGGCGGGGTAGGGGTCCTCCCTGAAAAGGTTGGAGGGAGGGGGTAAAGGAAGTTTTGTGGGCAAGGGGCTTGGACTTCCAGCAAGCATGTATGAGCATGTTAGATAGGAGTGAATGGAGACGAATGGTTTTTGGGACCTGACGAGCTGTTGGAGTGTGAACAGGATAATATTTTGTGAAGAGATTCAGGAAAACCGGTTAGCCGGACTTGAGTCCTGGAAATGGGAAGTACAATGCCTGCACTTTAGAGGTGGGGTTTAGGATTTCGGCAGTTTGGAGGAACGTCTAAACTATTGTATCTGAGCACCTCTGCAAAGACAAGTAATTATGTATGAGTGATGGTGAAAATGTTGACTGATGATGAAAGTTTTTTTCTTGTTGGGGTTTTCTTTCTTTTTTTGGGTCACCCTGTCTTGGTGGGAAACAGCTGATGTGTTAAAAAAAATTATATGTGAATCAAGGTTTTTCTATTTGTTGATGCAAGAAAATAATTATTTTAATCATTGTCCCTCTGCTTACATTGTTATTTCATTTCTTCAGTATTTATGTAACATCACATAACCAGTGTTCCTGATTGTCACTTTTTTTTTTTTTTTACCCAGGATCAACATCAGATACATTATTTGAGCAACTTAATGGCCAAAAGGGATTTAGAGTCAAATCCCAGTACAAATTTCACCTCTATATAAACACTGCTCCGTGTGGTGATGCAAGAATTTTTGTCCATGAAGAGGAAGCTGACAGAACTGACAGACATCCTAACAGACAAAGTCGTGGACTACTTAGAACAAAAATAGAATCTGGAGAGGGCACAATTCCAATTAAGGTAAAAGAAAAAATTCACTTTGTAGACAGTACTTTCCTCATATTTATTTTGCTAAACAATTTCATTAATTTGGGCAGCTGTCATTGACTGCCACTGGGACAGTGCATCAAAAACAATAACATGAAGGCAAAGGTAAAGTAGCAAGGATGCCGTGGGTCACCAAACTTTAAACCTCTTTCTCCTTTGTTCTTTTCTTCCTTTGTTTACCCTTTCCTCTACAATTTAAAAACTCCTTAATCCCCCCCTAACTCTTCTACTTTCCTTCCCTTCCTCTTTCTGGCTTTTTACCCATGCCTCTCTTCCTCCCCTTTTTTTTTTTCTATTTCTTCCCTCTCCTTTATATATATATAAAATTATTTATTAATATTATATATTTTAATTAATTTATATATATATAATATATATATTATATATATTTTATATAATATATATATTTATATATATTATATATAATATATATCTATATTATATATATATATATTTTTATATATTATTATATATATATATATTATATTTTTTTTTATTTATTTATTTTTTATTTTTTTTTAGTGCTTATTTTGTTAGTTCAGTTTCACACATGTCTAACCCTTAAGTGAAAACCAGTGATAGGATTGGGTGATGTGCTAATTGGATTTACTCCCAAATCTCCATTTATATACTACTTAAGTTTATATACCTTACGAGCTGTTGGAGTGTGAGCAGGGTAATATTTTGTGAAGGGATTCAGGGCAACTGGTTAGCTGGACTTGAATCCTGGAGGTGGAAAGTACAGTGCACGCACTTTAGCCCTTTGAGGGTTTCGGCCGTACTAGTACGGCTTACGACCCAGGGTTTTTGACGTACTAGTACACCTAAATTCTAGCACCCTCAAATCTTGTGGGAGAAAGCTGGTAGGCATACATATGGAAAGACTGGGTCTATGTGGTCAGTGTGCGCAGTATAAAAAAAATCCTGCAGCACACAGTGCATAATGAGAGAAAAAAACTTTGACTGTTTTTTTGGAATAAAACAGTGACTTTGCACTGTATTTTGTATGGTATTTATTGTTGTATTCTAGTTTTCTTGGTCTCATTTTATAGAATGGCAGACATATTACGGAAATTGAGATGATTTTGACTGGTTTTACAATGAAAAGTACCTTGAAATTGAGCTCAAAGTAGCAGAAATGTTTGATTTTTACCAAAGTTCAAAAGTAAACAAATCATGCAAAGCGTCCAATACTGGCGAGTCTAATATTCTTTCACAAGTGCGCTGATACTATTTATACCATTTCTACACTAATGCAGTAGTCTGCATAACAGTAAACCTTCTATTTTTTGTAAGAATAAAAACTGAAAGTGGAAAGCCAAAGAAATATAAGAGCGGCCTGGGGATGTAAACTAACGAACAGGGGAAATGTTATTTTGTGCCAGGATGTCTTTCTTGTTTATTCTGGACCCTATTTGGAAATTGGCATCTTTTGAAATTTGTGTGAAATTGGTAAAATTGCTAAATTCTGACCACTGTATTGGATATTTTTAAATCAGTAAATGGGTGGTTTCTTGTACTCATTCAATAGAAAAAATGGAGTTTTTAGAGAAATAGTTATGATTTTTGTCGACTTGTACACTGGAATTGGCCAAAAATAGGGTCAAGGTGGGCAAAATCGCCGATGTGTTTAACATCGTTGAGACTGCTTACTTCGCGAGAGCATAATTCCGTAAGTTTTTCCATCAAATTTATACTTTTTGTGTATTATGATCGGGGAAAAAAATTCTCTATCTTTTCATAAGAAACTTTTTTTTTTTTTTTTTTTTTTTTTTTTTTTTTTGAAATTTGGGGAGACCCTGAGAACAAGTCTCGGAGAGGGCCTGTCGACCCTCAAAGGGTTTAAAAGGTGGTGTTTGGGACATTGGCTGTTTGGAGTGACATCTAAACCGTCATATCTGGGCACCTGTGCAAAGATAGTGATTGTATGTTTATGATGGTGAAAGTATTGAATGATAGAGAAAGTTTTTTTTTTTTTGGGGGGGGGGGGTGTCACCCTGCCTCAGTGGGAGATGGCCGATGTGTTAAAAAAAAAATATTTAAAGAAAGAAGATGCATCTTAACCCCTTGACTGTCGAGACTCCAAATCCTGAAGTGTCTCCTGGGGTCGAAAAATTTTTGACAAAAAAAAAAAAAAATTCTTATGAATTGATAGAGAATCTTTTCCTGATGGTAATGACACCAAAAGAATGAAATTTGATGGAATTACGCTCTCATGAAGCTAGCAACCTCGGCGATATTTACAAATTGGTGATTTTGCCCACTTTGTGCCCTATTTTCGGCTAATTCCATTGTTCCAGTCGACCAAATGCATAGCTATTTCTTTAGAACTCCATTTTTTCTATTGATTGAGTACAAGAAACTGCCCATTTACCAATTTCAACTACCCAACAACATGATCAGAAATTTGCAATTTGGCCAATTTTACATAAAATAAAAAAAATGACAATTTCAAAATAGGGCCCAGAATGATCAATGCAGACATTCCTGGCTCTAAAATAACATTTTCTTTGTTCATCAGTCACGTCTCCAGACCCCTCTGATATTACTCTTGCTTCCTATTTTTAATTTTTATTCAAACAAAAAATAGAAGATTTACTTTTATGCAGACTACTGCAGTTTTGTAATAATCATATAAATAATGTCAACCCATTCACGACTGCATATTAGAATGGCTAGTTGGACATTTATTGAACAATGACATCATTTGTTTACTTTTGAACATCGATAAAAATCAAACATTTCCCCTACTTTGAGCTCTATTTCAAGGTTCTTTTCATAGTAAAACCAATCAAAATCACCTCTATTTTTATAATATGTATTCCATTCTATCAAATGAGACCAAGAAAATGAGAATACAACCATAAATACTATATGAAAATAGACCACAAAGTCGTCATTTTAATTAAAAAGAGCGGTCAGTTTTTTTTCTCATGCACTGCATGTTGCAGGATTTTTTTTATATGGTGCACACTGACTACACAGACCCATTCTCTCACAGGTGGGTCTACCAGGTTTCTACTGCTTGATTTGAAGCTGCTAGAAATTTTGAGTATAGATGTATGTGTCAAACACGGTGGCTCGTAAGACGTATATTTTTATTATTATTATCACACTGGCCAATTCCCACCAAGGCAGGGTGGCCCAAAAAAGAAAAACTTTAACCATCATTCACTCCATCACTGTCTTGCCAGAAGGGTGCTTTACACTACAGTTTTTAAACTGCAACATTTACACCCCTCCTTCAGAGTGCAGGCACTGTACTTCCCATCTCCAGGACTCAAGTCCGGCCTGCCGGTTTCCCTGAACCCCTTCATAAATGTTACTTTGCTCACACTCCAACAGCACGTCAAGTATTAAAAACCATTTGTCTCCATTCACTCCTATCAAACACGCTCACGCATGCCTGCTGGAAGTCCAAGCCCCTCGCGCACAAAACCTCCTTTACCCCCTCCCTCCAACCTTTCCTAGGCCGACCCTACCCCGCCTTCCTTCCACTACAGACTGATACACTCTTGAAGTTGTTCTGTTTCGCTCCATTCTCTCTACATGTCCGAACCACCTCAACAACCCTTCCTCAGCCCTCTGGACAACAGTTTTGGTAATTCCCACACCTCCTCCTAACTTCCAAACTACGAATTCTCTGCATTATATTCACACCACACATTGCCCTCAGACATGACATCTCCACTGCCTCCAGCCTTCTCCTCGCTGCAACATTCATCACCCATGCTTCACACCCATATAAGAGCGTTGGTAAAACTATACTCTCATACATTCCCCTCTTTGCCTCCAAGGACAAAGTTCTTTGTCTCCACAGACTCCTAAGTGCACCACTCACCCTTTTCCTCTCATCAATTCTATGATTCACTTCATCTTTCATAGACCCATCCGCTGACACGTCCACTCCCAAATATCTGAATACATTCACCTCCTCCATACTCTCTCCCTCCAATCTGATATCCAATCTTTCATCACCTAATCTTTTTGTTATCCTCATAACCTTACTCTTTCCTGTATTCACCTTTAATTTTCTTCTTTTGCACACCCTACCAAATTCATCCACCAATCTCTGCAACTTCAATGGAGTCAATGGAGACGTATATATACGACTGAAACAGTCAAAGGGTTAAACATAAAATGAGCCCAAATTGGAAATGTAAATATTTTGTACCGACGTCATTTAAATACAGTGGAACCCTGGTCATGGGCTGTCACGGAAATTGGCTGATTTGGAAATTGAGCACTTTTACTGGCAAAATTTTGCTCCGGATGTCGGCCATGCTCTTGGAAATAGGCTGTATGAGACGCGTCACCACCGACTGGTGACGCCCTTCCTCACGCGTATCACACTCAGTCTGCGTGTCTTTCTCGTTGGATTAGAAATAGTTTGCGGCTTCATCCATTGTTTCTAGTATTCTTTTGTTGATTGCAACTGTGAAATAAGCCACCATGGGGCCAAAGAAAGTTCAAAGTAAAGAAAGTGAGAAACATGATAGAATTCAAGAAAGAATTTATAGCAAAATATGAAAGTGGAGTGAGTGTGTCGGACCTCGCCAGGATGTATGGCAAATCATCTACAATCAGTTCCATCCTGTTGAAGAAAGCAGAAATCAAGGAAGCTGATGTTGCGAAAGGGGCAAATGTGCTAACAAAACAGAGGTCGCAAACAGTTGAGGATGCGGAGAAGGTATTGTTTTGGATCAATGAGAAACAATTAGCGGGAGAGAGTGTTTCAAAGGGTATAATTTGCGAGAAGGCATGGCAGTTGCATGCGGATCTTGTAAAGAAAATGCCAGGAACGAGTGCTGCTGTTAGTGAATTTAAGGCCAGCAGAGGCTGGTTCGACAGATTCAAGAAGCGTAGTGGCATACACAGTGGTGTAAGGCATGGTGAGGCTGCAAGTTCTGACAAACGCGAGGCCGCAGCATTTGTTCGTGAATTTAAGGGGTACATGGAGGTTGAAGAATTCC